TATTATTTTATTGATGCAAAATATTTTGCCCCAACAAGATGTTACAAAGTGTCGACTGATTGTTATAGATTTTGTATTTTACCTACTTTTTATTTTATTTTATATTTTAATTTTTTAAGAGAAAATAATAGAAAACAGAATAATCTATTATTCAAAAAATATATTACACCATTTTCATTTGAGCATTTTATTTAAATGCATAATTTCTTCGCTTATTTTGGTTCCCGATTTTATTTATTCGTTTATTTAATGTTTTAATTAATATTTATTATATGAAATATATTATTCATTCTTCTTTTTATTTTTTATTATTTTATTTATTGTTTGTTTCTTGTTTTTGATATTTTTATTCTATTTCATTAATTTATTAATTATTCTTTCTCTTTTTTAATAGCTTGTTTATATATTTCATTATCTTTCAATTATTTATTTTTTAATATATTTTAAATAGTAATGTTAATATTTATTAATATCATCAATTGTTTGTTGAATATTTGAAATATTTTTACTTCTTCTTTATATAATGAGTAATCTTGTTTATTAACTCTTCAATTTTAATTTAATAATTATAATAATAAAATAAGAATCATAAATAATTAAATACATTTTTATAACAATTTTATTTATTATTTTATTTATTATTTTATTTATTATTTTATTTATTATTTTATTTATTATTTTATCATTCTTTATTTTATTCATTAAATATTTTCTCTTTTCTTTTTATTTTTTATTATTTTGATTATATATTAAAATCCAGAAAATAGAATATAATAAAGAATAAGATATAACAAAACACCTCATCACAAATAATGATATAATCACAAAGTAATTATATAAATGAAAATGAAGTAGAAATAAAAACAAGAATAAAAGAACATCTAATTACAATCAAGTAATGAAAACAATGAATTAATAATAAAAATAAAATGAAAGAAAGAAAGAAAAATTAGAAATGAGAGGTAATGATGATGTTATGTGAAATCAATGAGATAATTGTGATAAAATAAAGAAAAAGAAGAAAAGAAGAGATAAATTAAAACAAACATTAAATAACATTAAGATAAAATAACAATAAGAAAAATAATACACAACAAGAATAATAATACCATCAACAACATAATAAAGAAATTTAACAAAGAAAGAAATAGAGAAACTAAAACTGATAATAAATACAAAATAATGATAATCTCATTATTAACTATGAAAATGAAAGAAGCTAAAACAATGAAAAATACATAATAAAGAATAAAAAGAAAAGAGTATAAATAAATAAAGAATAAGAAATGAAAACATGCAGAAATAGAATAATAATGAAGTGAGTAATTTAAAATTAATTGTTTAAATAAAACAAGTAATATTTGAAGAAAAGTAATAAGTATAAAAAGGAAGATAAAATGAAATATAGTAAAATAATTTCAGTCATATTTTCAATAAATGTTTTAATGAATGCAGAAAGCATTAAATTAATAAAGCCATTAAAAAATGAAAACATAGAATAATCCAAAAATGATATAATTAAAAAAAAATATGATGGATATCATGGAATAATGTTTCTATTACAAACAAAACAAACTCGGTATTGATACTAGATAATGGATCATGTACGGGACCATTCTTAACAAAAAAAAAACAATAAATAATACATAACAATCTATATTACTTATTTAATTACTGTTTATTTATTAAAGTTTAATCCAAAATGGTATTAAAAGAATAAAGGTTCTAAGTTATTATGACCTAACATTGCTACTTAATTAACCAATTAAATTTTATAACTAATACTATGTATCATTAGAGCAAATTATTATTGACATTTTAGGATTATACAAACCTCAATCAAAATCAAAATAAACATTTAGATAGACTATATTTAAGTTTCAAAAGTAATAAAGAAAAAGGATTTACATTTAACGTTATGATTAAAAAAACTTACCATAGATTTGTTAAGTAATTATGAGGTTGTATTTTAATAATGAAAAGAAATGAAATATTTGGTAAAATGAAAATTATTAATGGATAAAAAAAGATTAATTAAATTTAAAAACAAAAGAAAAAAAAGAAAAATACAATAAATGATTATTGCATTTGGTACAACAAGTTGTCAATTCACTGACAAAGTGATGAGAAAAGAAACAAAAATTTGGAGAATAATTATCACTAATAAGAAAGGTATTAATGAAATTTGAAGGAAATAAAAAACAATAAAAATTCAAAAAACAAAAGCATTTCTCAAAATTGAATAAAATAATATTACAAATGGGATTGGTTTGTGCCAATCACAATCAGTATTACCAAGAAATTACTAGAATAATAGTATATTACAAATCAATATTCGAGTATAAATGAGTATTAAATTTACTCTTTTAAAAACATAATTTCCTACTATGCATTTATTTATAGAAACGATTTTTGTTATCTATCTTTTACACATTAGAAATCAAATAGTTTAGGTTTAAAAATGTTTCTTATTAAATTAGATAAAATAAAATTTAATAAATCTCATGGAGGTATATACCACTTTCAGTTAGTCGTTATTTCAATGAGAAAAATCATCTTTGTTAATGACAACTTCGTTTAATTTTATTAAAAATTACAACATTAAATTGGTTAATATTTAGAAAAGAAGTGTAAGTAACAAAAAAGAGTGAAATTGTTATAAATAACTAAAATAAAAAACAAAAAATTTCAAATTTGAGTTATGAAGAAAACCCTTCAAAAGAAAAGAAATAATAAAGAAATAATAAAAACAATTAAAGAGAAGAAATGAAAAAGAAAGAATAACTGAGAAAAAGTATAATGGAAAGAATTAAAAAGGAACAGGTAGATGATTATATAAAAAAACATAATATTGAAATGGAAGATATTGAAAATGAAGTGTATTGCCCAGACCTAGGGAGAGCTATTAATACTGTTGAAGATAAATGGAGATTAATTCCAGCCTTTGTCAAAGCAAGAGGATTAGTTAGACAACACATCGATTCATTTAATTATTTTATTGATGAAGAAATCAAACAAATTGTTAAAGCAAATGATAAAATTACATGTGATGCTGATCCTACATTTTATTTAAAGTATTTAGATGTAAAAGTTGATACTCCATGTGTTGAAGTTGATTATAAAAAAGAATCAATTACTCCACAAGAATGTAGATTAAGAGACATATCATATACAGCACCAATACTTGCTAATATTCAATATACTAGAGATAAGAAAATATTTAGAAAAACTGTTACAATTGGATATATGCCTATAATGTTACAAAGTAAACATTGTGTTTTATATAATAATACATTTGAAGAATTTATAAGACATGGTGAATGTCCAATGGATCCAGGAGGATATTTTATTGTAAAAGGTGTTGAAAGGGTTATTCTTTCGCAAGAACAAATGAGTAAAAATAGAATTTTAATTGAAACAACAACTCAAGGGTTTTTATCAGCATCAGTTACATCAGCTACTCATGAAGTTAAATCACGTACAGTTGTTTATTTAAAGAAAGGAAAATTATATTTAAAACATAATAGTTTAACAGAAGATCTTCCAATTATGATTGTTATAAAAGCAATGGGAATGGAGAGTGATATGGAATTTTTACAATTTGTTGGTAATCATTATACATCTAAAATGATTAACTCTATTGAAGAGTGTAAAACAAAAGACGTATTAAATCAAAGAGAAGCATTAAGATATATTGGAAATCATTTAAAAATTTATACTGGTCAAAAAGGATATATTTCAAAACGACCTAAAATAGAAGAAGCACGTGATGTATTAGCTAATTTGGTTCTTCCTCATATTGAAGTTAATAGATATAATTTTAAGACTAAAATTATTTATCTTGCTTTAATGGTAAATTGGATTCTTAAAGCTGATGAAACAGGTGAGTTAGATGATAAAGATTATTATGGTAATAAAAGAATGGAATTAGCAGGACAGTTAATGTCATTATTGTTTGAAGATCTTTTTAAACAGTTTAACACTGATTTACAAAATGCTGCTAATAAAGGTTTAACTAAAAAATCAAGAAGCGAGACTTTTGATATCATTAAATGTATTTCTCCACATAGAATAACACAAGGATTAATTCATTCTTTATCAACTGGTAATTGGGTATTAAAAAGATTTAATATGGATCGTGCTGGTATTACTCAAGTACTTTCACGTTTAAGTTATATTTCTGCACTAGGAATGATGACTCGTTTAAACTCTCATTTTGAAAAAACACGTAAAGTTTCAGGACCACGTTCATTACAAGGATCTCAATGGGGAATGGTTTGTCCATCAGATACACCAGAAGGAGAGTCCTGTGGTTTAGTTAAAAATTTTTCATTATTGACAGAAGTTACAACAGACTCTGATGATCAAGCAATTGTGACAATGTTATTTAATCTTGGAGTTGAAGATGCTAATTTAATTTCTGGAGATGAGGTTAATGCACTAAGTAGTTATTTAGTATTTTTAAATGGTCAATTACTTGGAATCCATCAAAATCCAATTCATTTCTTAAAACAATGTAGATTATTAAGACGACATGGACGATTAGGAAAGAAAGTGTCATTGCATTTAAATGAAATGCAAAGAAGTATTAATATTTCTAGTGATGGAGGAAGAGTATGTAGACCATTAATTGTTGTAGAGAATTGTAAAAGTAAAATTGGTCCTAAAGAAATAAGAGATATCGTTGAAGGATTTAAGAGTATTGAGGATTGTTTAAAAGAAGGGCTAATAGAATATCTTGATGTAAATGAAGAAAATAACTCATATATCGCTATTAGTGAAAATGAAATTAACGAACATACTACTCATCTTGAAATTGATCCATTATCAATTCTTGGTGTTGTGGCTGGACTTATTCCTTATCCACATCACAACCAATCTCCAAGAAATACATACCAATGTGCTATGGGTAAACAAGCAATTGGAACAATTGGATATAATCAATTTAAAAGAATTGATACATTACTTTATTTATTATACTATCCACAAATACCAATGGTTAAAACAAAAACTATAGATATGATTAATTTCGATAAATTACCTGCTGGTCAAAATGCTATGGTTGCTGTTATGAGTTATTCGGGTTATGATATTGAAGATGCCTCTATCTTAAATAAAGCCTCAATCGATAGAGGATATGGAAGGTGTTTTGTTTATAGAAAAGCTGAGTGTGTCATCAAGAAATATAAAAATGGAGCATGTGATCGAGTTGTATGTCCTACAGATGAAGAAAGAGAATTACCAAAATACAAGTCATTAGATTTTGATGGAGTTTGCTCTCCAGGTTCTATCTTAAATCCAGGCTCTATTTATTTAAATAAACAGGTTCCTATTAATACAGTTGGAACTCTTACTACAGACACTATTAAAGATGATGAATATAGAAGAGAAGTATTAACATATAAAGGACCCGTTCCTAGTTATGTTGATCAAGTTTTAATTACTTCAAATGAAGAAGAGCCCTTAAAAGTTAAAATTTCATTAAGAACCTCAAGAAGACCAGAACTAGGTGATAAATTTTCATCAAGACATGGACAAAAGGGGGTTACTGGTTTAATTGTAAATCAAGAAGATATGCCATTTACTAATACAGGTATTTGTCCCGACGTTATTATGAATCCACATGGTTTCCCTTCACGTATGACAGTTGGAAAACTTCTTGAATTAGTAAGTGGTAAAGCAGGATTAATGGATGGTTCATTTAAATATGGAACAGCATTTGGTGGAGATAAATTAGATGATATGTCAAAAATATTGATTGAAGCAGGTTATTCTTATGATGGAAAAGAAGAGTTATATTCTGGAATCACTGGCAAAGCCCTTAATGCTTATATATTCATTGGCCCTGTTTATTACCAAAAATTAAAACATATGGTTCTTGATAAAATGCATGCTCGTGCTCGTGGACCAAAGTCAAGTCTTACAAGACAACCAACAGAAGGTAGATCAAGAGATGGTGGATTGCGTTTAGGAGAAATGGAAAGGGATTGTCTAATTGGTTATGGAGCAACTAATTTGTTATTA